AAACAAAGGAGTCAGGCTCAGGATGCTGTGGTTCGATCCTGCCCTGAAGGCATCCTGAGTAACTACCCCCCCAAAAAAAAGAAATAAAGCAAAACAACAACAAAAAAGCAGTGTGCAGATTCCTTGCAAGCTTATCACAGTTTTTGTTTTGATTACAGTGATTTTGACTTCTACTTTTCAATTTTCTTTTCTTTGGTTTTTGCTGTGCTGGGATTGAACCCAAGGCTGTGTGTATGCCAGACCCGTACTCTACCAGCAAGCCTCCATTTTTTTTTTTTTTTTTTTTCTGGTACCAGGGATTGAACCCAGAGCCTTGACACTGTCCAACATTCCCAGCCCTTTTCTTACTTTTTATTTTGAGTAAAAGTCTCACGAGGTCACTAGTTCAACTTATGATCCTCCTGCCTCGGCCTCCCAGAGTGCTGGGACTGCAGGAGCGCGCCCACGTGCCAATACCTTTCATGCCCATTTCTTGAGGTTTCCCTCTCTGCTCCTGTCACCTCTCTGCTCGTGCAGGGCTCACTTCTTTGCAGCAGGGCCCTTATGCAGTAACCGCAGTCATTTCTGATCTCCTGCCCTGTAGCCCAGGGTGTCCCTCCCTCCGTCCACCACATGCTGCTCTCTGTACTGTAGTGCTGGTGACAGGGAGCCCGGTGCAGGGCTGCAGAGCACACGTGTGTGTGTGTGTGTGTGTGTGTGTGTGTGTGTGTGTGTGGCTTCAGCCACAGGATCAAGATGCTTTGAGAGTGCGAGTGTCCTCATCCTTGGCCCCTACTTGTCTGAGACCCCAGGAATTCCTCAGGGATGGGTCAGGTCTTACTGCACGTGTGGCTGTGACACTGGAGCCCTGCTGACATGGGTACCAGGAGCCAGAGGCAACGCAACTGTAACCAGGTCCCTGAGTTGGGCTGGTGGCGCACATGTGTAATGCCTATACTCTGGGAGCATGAGGCAGGAGTATCACAATGAATCGGAGGCCACATAGGGAGATCTTGCCTCAAAAAATCGATCAATCCATCCACCCATCTATCTATCTATCCCTGTCTATGGGCTGCACCTTCAGCAGCGACTCTGAACTCTTCCACCTGAGGTGGCAGCGGCAGCAGGCGACACCTTCCCACCTGGACAAGGCCTCCCTAGGGGGCTCTGGGTGTGCTGCCTGGCAGGACCTCAGCTGGCCTTTCCTCCCATCTGTTCTGCCTTGCATCTTCTCTGTGAGAGCCTGGTGGGCTTCCTGGAGGTCACCCCAGATGCCATCCCTGCAGCCTGTGTGTCAGCTGCTTGTGGTCCCTGTGTCCCTGGCAGGGCTGGCTCCCTCCGAAGTGTGATGTCTCACAGCCACACACCCCCCGTCCCCCAGGCCCCCCCACTGTGACCCTAATGCAGCTTCCCGAGCCAGGCAGCCTGGCACACCCCAGGCAGGTCCCAGCAGGGATAGCTGGCATCTGTGGGAAGCTAAGGGACAGGCCTCTGCAAGGTCCCCATGAGGCAGACTGGCATGACACCGAGTTGTGCCCTGACTGCGTGTTGCTTGGATGTGTGTGTGTGTGCGCATGCGTGTGTGTGTGTGTGTGTGTGTGTGTGTGTGTGTGGTTGTCTGTCCCATTGAACCCACCCCAGCCCTGCCAGGTCCTCTGGCCGAGACTCAGACCCAGTCCAACAGGGTGGCCCAAAGAGACCTGCAGAGGAAGGGTGTGGGAGCTGAGGCCCTGAAGACCAGGTAGGAGTTTTCCGTAGAGAGATTGTAAGGAAGCACCAGAGGGAGGGGCAATTGCTAGGATCTACCTAGGAGAGCACCAGGGGCTGTCTGTGTTGTGACAGTCTGTCTGGAGTGGACAAGGCAGTGCACGTGTGCACAGGTGAGAGCCAGGTCCTCATACCAGGAGGCCTGGCAGGCCCTGGTGTGGAGCAGCCAGAGGGACAGAGCCAGGATCAGTGCGGGGAGGAGGAGGGGGGCGGGACGGGGAGCTCCACACCTTCCTCCCTCCCCCAGGCCTGGGCTTCACTTCCTGTGGAACTTGGCAACACCTGCCTCTTACACCACACCCCATTTTTTGGTTTACTTTGAGGCAGGGTCTCAACTTGTAGCGATCCTCTAGCCTCAGCCTCCCCATGACACCTCAGGCGGGCCACACCCGCATTTGAGTCGCTGGTGAGGTCCCCAATTCTTAACTCCTCTTTCCTCCCTGGCCCGGGTGGGGGCAGGAAGCCAGGGGCCCGGGCCACTGTTGATGGGGTTCCTGCACCTTCTTCGATACCCAGCGCCCAGGGGTGGGAGGAAGCGGAGGGCCGAACGGCAGCTCTGGGTTTGGAGAGGCGCGGGCCGGGGTGTCGCTGCCGGCAGGGAGGTCCCCATCACGAGGCCCGGGCGGCCCGCCCCTTCACTCCAGAGGAGACGACGGAGGCGGGGACGGCGGCGCGGCCGGGATGTTGGGGCAGTGGGCCGGGGCTCTGCTAGCCCTGCGCGCGCTGCTGGCCGCCGCGCACCCACAGTGCCTGGACTTTAGGCCGCCCTTCCGGCCGCCAGGCCCGCTGCGCTTCTGCGCGCAGTACTCGGCCTTTGGCTGCTGCGCGCCGGAGCAGGACGCGGCGCTGGCCCGGCGCTTCGGGGCCCTGGCGGCCCGCGTGGACGCCGCGCTGTGGGCCGCCTGTGCCGGCTACGCGCTGGACCTGCTGTGCCAGGTGAGGGCGCGCGGCCCGAGCTCCTGAGGGCGCGGTCTGCACAGGCGGGAGGGAGGGCGGGCGGGCGGGGACCGGGGCGCTCGAGGGCGGTGCTGCGCTCGGTCCTCATTAGCTTCCCGATTTGGCTGCTCCTGGCCTCAGTTTATCCTCCTGCTTCAAGAGGGGCACACAAATGGGGCTCACTTTTTCAGAGACTGGGGGCCCTCTTGTCCTGGGAACCCCTGGAGCCACCCCCCCCCATCTGTGTTGCTGGGAACGGGCTGGGAGAGGTTTACCCTGTTCCCTTGTGCTGTTCAGAGAGGCAGGGACTGTCCTGCCTCAGCCTCCTGTCCAGGACAGGCATGGGTTGGGGCAGATATGTGGAGACCTCTTTCCAAATAGGCCCACCCACCCGTGATGATTTGAGAGCCCCTAGGACCCTGACCCTTCCAAGTTCAGGTCTGCAGACCCCCAAGGCTTCCAGCCTGCACCTAGACCCCCCGCCCCTTACAACCTCTCCCCCGTGCTCAGACCAGGAGCCTCTGACCCCCATTGTGCCCAGTGGCTTCTTTTCCAGCTGTCCAGGCCTGATGCCTAGGGCGGGGGAAAAGCCCTGTGCAGCTGCGGGGCAGAAAGCTGGGTGAGGTTGCAGGAGCACGGCCAGCAGAGGGCAGGCGAGAGGTAAGGGCTGGAGCCTGAAGGCTGGGCTCTGCCCTGGTCTGCTATCTCCTGGCTGCTGACCTTGGGGCAGTCTCTGCTGCTCCAGTTTCATCATCCATGTGCAGGGACAGGTGGGGCAGGACACACACCTGGAATTCCAGCCCTCAGGAGGCTAAGGCAGGAGGATCAAAAACAGTTTGAGGCCAGCCTGGGTTACAGAATGAGACCCTGTCTCTGAAAAAAAAAAAAAAATCCAAAACAAAAGGCCTGGGAGGATAAGAAGAGGGTCCCCAGGAGCTCCCAAGATGCTCCCACGGGCGGGCTGCTTCCCCATGGGCTCTGTACCTCCCACCATCTCAAAGGCACCAAATGGTCTGGCCAAGCACCAGCTTCACCCCAAGCCCAAGGCTCCTTGGGACCAGGCTGTAGTTCCCCTGGGCCTGCCCAGCAGGGAGGATGAACCAGGCCAGCCCAGGAGGAGAGAGGGAAGGTCAGCTCGCTGTGGGCTGCGGGCAGCGGCTCCTCTCTCTCCTTGGGAACGTTCCAGGACAGCCTGGCTGGAGCAGGTCTGCTGCGGTGGCTACCAGCACCTCCAGCCGCTGCTCCGGGGTGGCCTCATGTGTGGAGATGGCCTGGAGGGTGCAGCCAGGGGGGCCCTGGTGGCCATGGCAGGAACACCACGCTCTGGGAGCCAAGCCCAGGCCTGGATTTGGCGCCTCCTGATTTCCACCTCTGGGAAGGTGGCTGAGGCGGTCAGTGTCAGATCTCAGCCTGTGACAGCATTCAGGCCTTGGGGGATGGAAGGCTCCTTCCTAGGTGTCTGCCTGTGTTCCTAGGTGAGGCCGCCTCGCAGAACCCGTGTCACCTGTGTGCAAAGATAGCCCAGAGCCGGGGGGGGGGGTAGGGCGGCCTGAGGCAGGCTCAGCCTCAAAGTCTCCCTTGGGTCGGGACACAGATGCCACGGTGCCCATGGCAGAACAGATACCACTCAGGTCAGGAGGTGCCAGCAGGAGGGAGCCTTGAGTTTCTCCCCTTCCTCCTTTCTTCTTATGGTACTGGGACATACCCAGGGCCTCTGCTCTGAGCTACACCCTCAGCCCTTTTTATTTTTTATTTTGAGCCATGGTCTCACTAAGTCACTGAAATGCCCAAACTGGGTTTAAGCTTGTGATCCTCCTTCCTCAGCTCAACCATGCCTGGTGTTCTTACAATTTTTCAGGACTTTTTCATCACTATTTAGGGATAATGAGAATTCTGTCTGCCAGGAAGGAGTGGAGGGAAAGGCACACCTCAAAGGAACCCCAACCAAAGGCTCAGAGTATGACAGGGCAGGGAATGCCAGGGGCTGCGAGCTGGGCACAGCTGGATAGGGGTCCGGTCACCTGCAGATGGCTCTGGGGTGAGGGGCCCAGAGTTCAAGGCCTGCTAGACTTGTTGCCTCCTCCTGGGTTTGGGAGGAGGCCTGGCTCAGAGGCTCTTTCCTTACCATGGTGATGAGCCCTGGAGGCAGGAGGAGGTGCATGGGGCAGGGAGGACGTGGTGTGAGCCTGCTTGTGGGCACTGCCATGCAGAGCTGGCCGAGGTACCAAGGGGCTGAAGCACATTTGTCTTCTAAGAGATGGTGCTAGCACACTGCACTGGGACAGACCAGGGTCCTGTCAGGGAGGGGCTGAGCCAGAGGAGACCCATGGGCCTGAGGTCACCAGGCGCTGGAGGGTGGGGCCCTCCTGAGATGCAAGAGGCTGTCAGATGCAAGGCTTCTCCAGCATAGCAAAGTGGCGCACACTTGGAATCCCAGCTACTCAGGAGGCTGAGGCAGGAGGGTCACAAGTTCCAAGCCAAATTTGTATAAAAAAAGAGGCCCTTCTTAAGTCATTAGCCATCTGATCAAGGTGCTGAATAATACGATGGGGGGCATGGGACTGGAGCCTCAGTTCACCTCCAGCAGCTCTCTGCCCTGTGTGGAAATCTTGTGAATGTTATGTAAATGATAGAGGCAAAAACACTTGCTGCCAGTAGGAAACGAAGCTGAGCAGAGGCCACTGGGTGCGCTGTCCAGCACTTCCCACTGTGCCTACGTGGGCCTACATGTTCGGGGCTCTTGGCTGGGTGCCAGCACGCCGTGGTAGGTAAGACAAAGGAAGAACCCTGCCCTCGCAGAATGCATGCTCTGAGCAAGGGCCTGAGGTAAGCCAGCAACAAACTCCTGTGCTATGATGTCAGGTCAGGTGAAACATTTTCATTCCTGGGGACCAACCCAGGGCTTTTTCATGGAGCTACACCCCAACCCCCTTTAATTGGTTTTTTTTTTTTAATGTATTTAGTACAGTGTCTCACTACACAGGTCAGACTCATAATAATCCTCCTGTTTTCAGCCTCCCAGGCACTGGGATTACAGGCATATGCCACCACACCCAGTCTCAATCGCTGTCTCAGTGTGCCTCAGGGGCAGGCTGGCATGGTACACTGGGGATCGAACCCCTTTAAAAAATTTTTTAACACTTTCAGACAGGGGCTCGATGATTCGCCCAGGGTGGGCTTGAATTTATAACTCCTGCCTCAGCCTCCCCAGTGGTGGGGTCACAAGTGTGTGCCACCATGCCCTGCTGGTTACGGGCTTAAACAGAAGCATTAAGGCAGGAGATAAGAATGGAGAAGAGTTGGGCAGGGTGAGCACACCTGCAATCCCAGGATGGTGGAAGGCCGAGGCAGGAGAGTGGCAAGTTTGAGCCCACTCTGGGTAACTTAGTTTTAGCAAGACCCTGTCTCAAAAGAAAGAAGAAAAAAGGGCCGGAGAAGCAGATGCCAAGGGCCTGGGTTCGATCCCCAGCATGTGTGTGTGCGCTGGCACATGTGTGTGAGCCTGCTGAACTGTGGGCATCTTGGCGTTAGGTGTCCTGTTCTGCAATTGGGGGCGGCAAGTTGGGGCTGGGGGACTGGCCTGAGGCCACGCAGGGGATCAGCGTCCCCATGCGTGCCCGTGTCCCAGCAGGAGTGCTCGCCCTATGCAGCCCATCTCTACGATGCAGAGGACCCATCCACGCCCCTGCGCACACTACCCGGGCTGTGCGAGGACTACTGCCTGGACATGTGGCGCACGTGCCGTGGCCTCCTCCGCCACCTGTCAACTGACCCTGAGCTCCAGGCGCTCGAGGGCAACCGCACCAGGCTCTGCCGCCACCTGTCCCTGGATGACACCGACTACTGCTTCCCGCGCCTGCTGGTAAACGACCAGCTCAACTCCCACCTGGGCCGCGTTCGCGCCGACGCGCGGGGCTGCCTGCAGCTGTGCCTGGAGGAGGTGGCTCACGGGCTGCGCAACCCGGTAGCCATGGTGCATGCTCGGGACGGCACGCACCGCTTCTTCGTGGCTGAGCAGGTGGGGCTGGTGTGGGTTTACCTGGCCGACCGCGCGCGCCTCGAGCGCCCCTTCCTGAACATCAGCCGTGCCGTGCTCACCTCACCCTGGGAGGGCGATGAGCGCGGCTTCCTGGGCCTGGCCTTCCACCCGCGCTTCCGCCATGCCCGCAAACTCTACGTCTACTATTCCGTGGGTACCGACTTCCGGGAGTGGATCCGCATCAGCGAGTTCCGGGTGTCCGAGGATGACGAGAACAGCGTGGACCACAGTTCCGAGAGGTGGATCGCGGGGGCTGGGGTGCTGCGTGGTAGGCGCAGCCCACTCAGGGCTCCCAGAGGGGGCTGGAGCCCAGGGGCCTTGGGGAGGGGTCTGCAAACACTGCTCCAGGCCTGCAGACAGTGCCTTTCATTGGGTTCTCATGAAAGAGCGGTGCCCCTCCGCCTGCATCCTTCAGCCCTGCCATGCGCACTCCGCCTCGTCCACAGAGCCGTCTCCTGCTGGCTGTTGGCACCCCGGCCCTTCTCAGAGGGAATGGGAAAAGCTCAGGGGCCCAGGGCCCAGGGCAGAGCATTGACCTGAGGGAATGAAGTTTAAGAGGGAAGATCCTGGAGGTGGGAAGAAGCTTCCCTCCCTCTGGCTGGGGTGACAGAGACAGGGGCTCCCGGGCTGAGCCCAGCCCCCAAGCTGGAGCCACGCTGGGCTGCTGTAAGGGACAGGAGCCAGGAGAGGACGCAGCTACTGCTACTGGAGCAGAGAGGGCAGAACGGCCTCCCCACCCAGCCAGGCTCCTGCTGCGCCTGGCCCTGGCCTCAAGGTTCGGCTAGCAAAGGAGCACGGGAAACATAGTTTGCAGGCGCTGTCCTGCTCGGCTTATAAAGAGTAGGTAGGGGGAGGGCTGAACAGTGTCTGAGAACAGATGGATAAACAACAGCAAATGCATATTGGATAAAACTGGAAAATGTTGACACTGAATATATGAAAAAAGGGAGAGGACAATCATGCCAGCTTTGAGGGCCATTGTGGATTCTGTCATAGCGTTAACTTTTGTGAGCTTCCTAGCAGCCTGAGAAAAAAGAGAAATCATAATTGCTCCGACCTTCAGTGAGCCTGTAAAGCCCTTTCTCCATAAGAAGCCAGGAGTGGATCTGACAGAGGGAGACGGAGGGCCAGAATAGATATCTGCACCACCAGTGACTTTAAGCACACTAAGCCCTGAGCATTGAAACCGGAAGGGACTAGAGATGGACCCATACCAGAGTGGGGCTCATCGAGGGTCTTGGGGGCACCACATACTATATGACCTTGAGCAAGTCACTCAAGCTCTCTGGGCCTCCAGGTGACCCTGGACAGCAAGGGTGGAAGATCCCTGCCCAGCCGTCCCTGCTGGGTCTGCGTGAGGGCCCGGGCATGAGGGCTCTTTCCACTGCGCAGTGATGTCAGAGCGTAAGGAGGCACCTGTGGGGATCTTGGGAAGGCCAAGCGTTTACTGGGCTTGTCTTCCTTTAGGATAATCTTGGAGATTGAGGAGCCAGCCTCCAACCACAATGGGGGCCAGCTGCTCTTCGGGGACGATGGCTACCTCTACATCTTCACCGGGGATGGCGGAATGGCTGGAGACCCCTTTGGAGTGTTCGGGAATGCTCAGAACAAGTACGTGTGCTCTGGCTGTGGGTTTACACCCCCAGCTCCTCGCCTTCCTTGGGTGTGGTGGCTTCTTCTCAGCCAAGTGATGCAGAGCAGTGGAACAGGCTCGGCCCGACTGTGCCTGCTGCCAGCAGGGTGCCTGGGCAGGTCTCTTGAGGCTATCAGCCAGAGGGGACTGAAAACCTCCACAGGGCTTTGGGTGCCAAAGGGAGGGACTCTGGAAAGCTGGGGCTTTCTCTAAGGCTTGCTCAGTCCTCCTGCAGAAGCTGAGGGAGGTCCCCAGACCCATACATTTCCACACCAGGGGACCCCCTGGAGACACAGGTGCAGCCAGCTTGACCAAACAGCCTGAACTTTGAGCACTTCTTCCCTACATGCATGTGCACATGCCAGCCTCCAGCACCATGCACACACACACTCACATGCTCACACACGTGCACATAGGAGTCCTGTGAATGTGAACGGGGAGTTTCTAACCAGCTCTTTCATCCCTACAGCCTAAATGACACAACCTCCCTCTACCCAGAAAGTAAAAATAGCACAGATGAGGTTGATTACAATCATTAAAACGCAAATAATTTGTGCCTTGTCACTTCTCCTGCAATAGGGAGCACATCATCCCAGCTCTCACATGTTTGCAGTGTGTTTGGAGATGAAGCCAAGAAAATAGAAATTAAGGACTTGTAGATAATTGGACAGAATGTAAAACATTATTTTGCTGCCATTCTGGGAATCTCTGCCCATGGACACCCTGATGCTCAGGGTGAGCTGGTAGCATGGGGTGGGGTGACAGGAGCCCCGGGAGCTAGAGGCCAGCAGTAGGGGAGGAGCCTCGGGTGCTTGGGGGAGGAGCGTGTTATCAGTGTGAGTAAGGCTGCTTGTGCCCTGTCTCTAGCCATGGTAGCGCGGTGTGAGCGTGACAGTTATGCAGTGGTGTCAGCTGTCATCCTGGGCCCCCCTGGAGGAGGACCCACCAGCCCTCAGAGTGCATCAGACACCAGGGCCACATTCCCTGCCACACTGACTCTAGAATATGACGGATTGTTTCCTGTCTGCCCTTCTTGCCCTGTGACCAATGAACCCTGAAGCTGCTTACCCCCAGAGCTGTGTGGAGCTGGCGCTGCGCCTCTGCTGCCCTCCTTGGCTCTCACGGTGCTCCGTTTACCCCGACTCCGCTTGGATAACAAAGCACTCACTCCTTCCTTGGCATCTACTTCTCCCCGCTGTGTGCCACCTGACAGCACAGCCCTGGGATGGGCAGGGCTGAGTGGGACCCTCTACCAGTACCATGCAGGACACTGAGGCTCCACGAAATGTCACAGCAAAGAGCTTGGGGTGAGACCAGCCTGGGCAACTTAGTGGGACCCCGTCCCCAAAGAAAAATTGAGAGTTGGTCATGGTGACACATGCTTGTAGTCTTAGCATTGGTAGGCTGAAGCAGAAAGATCACCATGAGCTCGAGGCCAGCCTGGAGTATAATAGGGAGACCCTGTCTCCAGAAACCCAATTAATTAATTAGTAATAAAAACAAGAAATGGTGTGGATATAATTCAGTGCAGATGCCCTGGGTTCAACCCTAGCATTGTACCAAAGAGAGTGAGACAAAGAAAGAGTCTGAGGGGTGATGGGAGGCAGGGAGAAAGACCCAGAGATTGGTTTTCTGGGGCTAGCTGCCTGGGCTGGGCTCCACTCTCCCCCTTCACCTCCAGGAAGCATTCTTTGGCCTTTCTTTTTTCTTTCTTTCTTTTTTTAAAAAATTTATTCATTTGATTTATTTGTGTGTGTGTGTGTGTGTGTGTATGGCCAGCTCAGCCCACCAGGGGGCGGGGCTGGCATGTGGTGCTGGGGGATTGAACCGCGGTCCCTGTGCTTTGCTAAGCTTGTTCTAAGTAGGTGCTTTTGACCACTGAGCTTTGGCCTTTCTTGAACTAAGTGGCCAGGTCTGTACAACGGGCCAAGGGCAGGCGCCCGGCCGCACCTGGCAGATCCCGCCCTCCCACCCGCAGGTCGGCGCTGCTGGGCAAGGTGCTCCGCATCGACGTGGAGCGCCCGGCGCGGGGCCCGCCCTACCGCGTGCCCCCGGACAACCCGTTTGTAGGCGATGCCGCGGCGCGCCCCGAAGTCTGGGCCCTGGGCGTGCGCAACATGTGGCGCTGCTCCTTCGACCGCGGCGATCCCGTGACTGGTGCTGGCCGCGGACGCCTTTTCTGCGGTGACGTGGGCCAGAACAGGTTCGAGGAGGTGGACCTGGTTCAGCGTGGCCGCAACTACGGCTGGCGAGCCCGAGAGGGCTTCGAGTGCTACGACCGCCAGCTGTGTGCCAACGCGTCCCTCGGTGACGTCCGCAGCCCAGACCCTGGAACCCACCTGGCCCGGGACCCCACCCCGCTCTGTGCCCCACTGATCCCTCCCCCGTGTCCACCAGAACCCCCTCAGGTGGCCTCCTGTCCCCGCCTCCCCTCCACCCCTTCTGTCCTGTGTGGCCCAGGGCGCCCAGTGGGCTTTCAGGGGGGTTGTCCTCTCCTCACAGCCGCCTGAGCTGACTCCAGGCCTCCGTGTCTGTGTTCCCCTGTAGACGATGTGTTGCCCATTTTCGCTTACCCTCACAAGCTGGGCAAGTCGGTCACGGGGGGCTATGTTTACCGTGGCTGTGAGAACCCCAACCTGAAGGGCCTCTACATTTTTGGGGACTTTATGAGTGGGTAAGTTGCCCTGAGCATCCCAGGCTGCTTCATCTGCTCCTGGGCCTGTGGCGAAGGTGCGTGTGTGAGCATGTGAGTACTCGTGTGCTCATGTGTGTACACACAAATGTGTATGTGTGCTTGCATGTGTGTACATGCTGGTACACACTTGCGCTGGCCCCACTCTCTGGTTGTGGACCCAGCCAGCACCCCAAGCATCCCATGCTCTGCCCCTTCCTCGCCTCTGGGTAGCTGCCTCCTGGCCTCTCCACCCCAGGCTCCTTCCTAATGGGCAGTAAGGCCACAGCTGCACTGGTTTCTGTTGTGCCCTGGGCCACCCCTCATGGCCTGCCTACCCAGCCGGCCACACAGCGGTCTTGGTCCAAGGCCCCTCAGGTTGTGGGGCAGGGTGGGCAGGACAGCAGGCTTCCTGAGCTCTCCGGAATCAGGTTGCACGCCAGTGGAGCACATGGAGCCCTGTGGCGCTGGGAGGGGACGCAGACCGGGGCTCCTGGATCCTGAATCTTCTCTCAGTTCTTGGGCATGCCTTTCCCCATCTGTGTGATGGGTCTAGTGGAGCCTGTTTTTATGTAGGGAGCACCGAAGTCAGCTGATTGCAGAAATTCAGCTGATTTCCCCCACATTTCCCAGGCCCCTCTGTTGGGGTTGGGGGTCAGGCAGTGGTTGAGCTAGGGTCACAGAGGTGAATGAAGAGCATCTGGAGTCTGAACTGGGGACACCCAGGCTTGATCCCTGGTGGTGGGGCCTTAGAGAGCCTGAGCCCAGTGAGAACCCAACCAGTGCAGTCTGGGAGGGCCTGCAGGAGGAGTGGGTACCTGGCAGGGCCGGACAGGCAGAGAAGGGAGTAGCCTGGAACACCCAGGCACCTGCTCTGGAGCTGGCGCCAAAGGCCACATGCACTCCTGCCCCCAGCCTTGAGGCTCTGGCAGGGAGGTCAGCATTCCACAGAACGGCGGCCACTGCCAGCTGGGCTGAGGGCAGGGGCCAGGCTGGTCTTGTGCGTCCCCAGGTCTCTCGGGCAGGTGGTCTGAGAGATCACACCAACCAGCCTCCTGGCCACATAACCTGCAGGGCCACATTAGGTGGAGTGCCCAGTACCTGCCCTGAAGGGTGCGTGTGAGGTGTAGTCCCAGAGTGGGCAGCAGGATGGACAGGTGGCAGCCAGAGACTGGGCACCACAGGGAGGCTGCTTTTCCCTTGTAGGCGTCTCATGTCCCTCCGTGAGAACCTGCACACTGGCCGGTGGCAGTACAGTGAGATCTGCATGGGCCGCGGGCGGACCTGCGCCTTCCCGGGGCTCATCAACAACTACCACCCGCACATCATCTCCTTCGCAGAGGACGAGGCCGGTGAGCACTTCCAGAACCCCCGTCCTGGTCTCGCAGCCAGGACCTCCCTTCCAGGCTGCCTGGGCTTGGCCTGGTTCCCCAAGGCCAGAGGTCCAGCCTCTGGAGCCCAGGCAGCCCGCAAGGGCCTTTGCCTCAGGGAGGCCTGACCTCCACCCCACCTTTGAAGGGTTGCTGTGAGGGAGACTGGTGTGGTGGTGACAGGCATACCTGGGCCCTTCCTCGAAGCCACACTGTCATTTCAAAGCAGGGGGCACAACCGCTTGCCTGTGGCTGCTGCCCGCATCTGGCACATGTGCTTGCAGGGCAGGAAGAGGCAGGACAAGGGGAAAGAGTCCCATGCCAGCTTCTGCCTAGATGCTGTTCTCTGACCAAAACTGGTGGCCCCAGTGGGCCTTGCTGGATGCTTGTTGGGTTTCTAGGCAACATCCAGGGGCTTTGTAGGAGCACCCTGGACAGGGCCCAGGGCCAGAGTCCCGGGGCCCATCTGGGAAACCTCTGTTAAGCCTCCCCTGTGTCTAGGGGTGGCCTGGCTCTCTCTGTTGGCATGAGCTTGTTTCAGGAGCAGAGTCCCGCCCCGCTGGCCCAGGTGTAGGACTGGAAGGAAAGCGTAGCTCCAGCTCCGGAGGGCTCTTCCTTGCCTGAGGAACTCACTGATAGAGATCCAGGTGCTGCCTGCCCAAGGCCAGTGTGAGGCCCCAGAAAGTCTCAGTGGGTCCCAAAGTCAGAGACAAGCCAGGCTCCAGCTCCCTGCACCAGCTTCTGCTTCTCTAGTCTGAACACTTGTAGACTGCACGCCAAGGCCCTCCAGGGACAGTCCCCACCGCCAGACCCCTGTGGTCCGGTCCTGTGGTGGGTTTACAGTGTGAGTTGGTGGCCCCCTTGTGAGCACAGTGCCAGGGCCAGCTCTCATGAGCCCTGGGGTAGGAGCCTCAGAGCCGGCCAGCTCTGCCACTCCAGGGACCTGACGCTGTCTGTCCATCCCAGCAACAGTGAGGAGGGTGGGCTCCAGGCCCTGGGCGAGGTGAAGAATGTGAAGCAGGAAATGGGCTGAGGGACCAGCGTGTGAGCTCTAAGTGTGGGTGGCCCCAGAAAGCTTGTGGAGAGGGAAATGGTGGCCCAGAATTGTCCAGCCCAGCCGTGGGTGCCCCGTGGGCTCTCCAGCCTATCACACAGTACCCTCATCCCCTCTGCACAGTTCCTGGGGTTTCTCCTCTCCCCAACTGTTCCCCAATACACTGTGCCCAGCGCCAGACTGCCCTCATTCCCTGCTGTCCTGTCCTTGCCCCCTTCCACTCTGTTGTCTCACAAAGATGGAGGTCTTAGTGGGGGCGGAACCACCTGTTGGGCTCCTTCCTGGTCCTGTGGGTGGGGAATCGCTGAGCCCTGGGCTGGACTCAGCCGTTACCAGCTTCGGGGCTCTGACACAGTGCCCACGCTCTCTTTCCCATCTGTAAGAGGAAACACTGGAGCCTGTTTTCCAGGCTTGGGCACCTGTGGCAGTGGGGCTTCAGGTAGGACAAGTCGGGAAGAGCAGGGACAGGGACAGTGACTGCCCTGGGGGTGGAGGAAAAGGCCATGGCTGAGGTGCCGAAGGCACTCGGGGGTGGATGGAGGGCAGTGCTTTCTGCCCTGGCCCTGGGAGCTGCCTGCTGCTCAGCAGAGACGCCTGGCCTGGAGGACAGACAGCAGGGCCCAGCACGGGGTAAGGAAAGCAATGATACAGTACTGAGCTCTGGTACTGACTGAGTACTGCTCTCTCTTCCTCCTGCCTGAGTGAGCCTCAGAAGCAGGAAGCTGGGCCGGGGAGATGGCTCAGTAGAATAAGCGCTTCCCTGGCAAGCGCAAGGGCCTGAGTTCAATCCTTGGTTCTGCTAAAAAAGAAAAAAGAAACCAGGAAGCTGAGGCTTGGAGAGCCTGGAGGGGAGCTTTGCCTCTGTTCCTGTCCTGGGGTGGGTAGGTTGGGCCCGAGCCCAGGCTGGGGCCTCGAGGAAGGAGCACCAGGAAGGGTGGGCTGGGATGGAACTATGGAGGCCCAGGACTGGCAGAGACGGAGCTCCCAGCCTCAGTTTCCAGGGTGGGGACAGCGCCTCAGGCAGTCTCAGCCGCCTCCAGGCTGGAGAGCTGGTGCAGGACGGAGGAACCTGTGCCTGCTTGTGCCACCGCCTTCTCACCGTTTCCCTGTCCACCGTGAAGGGGAGCTGTACTTCCTGTCCACGGGTGTGCCGAGTGCCACGGCGGCCCATGGTGTTGTCTACAAGGTGGTTGACCCGTCACGGTGAGTCCTTGGCACGGCTGACCCCAGGGAGGGCAGGAATGAATGAATGGTTGTTTCTCTAAACTCCTCCCAGCCCTCCTCAGCTGACTTCCCCACCAGGCTGCACACTGTCACGGCTGAGGGGACCCTGTAGTGCCCCCAGCACAGTCCCCTTGGCCACCCTCAAGGCGTCATTCATGTTCAGCAGAGCTGGAAGGAGTCTGCTGCACCCTGTTGCCCTAAACTCAGAGACACACTAGGTGTAGGAAAGCCGGGAAACACCCAGGGATCTTGAAAAAAAATTTTTTTTTTAAAGTTTGTAATAGTTTTAGATAAACAGATAGGTTGTAAAACAACAGCAACAGCAGTCCACACCCAGCATCCCCTGTTCTCAATATGGCATCAGAGAACACTTGCCACCACTAGTGAGCTCAGAGGGACACACTATCATTAACTAAGCCCTTTGGTCTTTTGTTGGTGTTGTTAGCGGTGGTGTTTGTTTTGAGACAAGGTCTCTCTGTGAAGCTCAGTGCCTCAGGCTCTTGGCAGCCCTCCTGCCTCAGCCTCCCGAGAGCTGAGACTACAGACGTGCGTGCGTCACCGTGTCCAGCAGTCTTTCAGTCTTTTAAAAAGCGCTCTGGTTGTTCCCTCCCTGCCCTTTTTATTTATTCTAGGATCCCATCCAGAACCCCTGATTACATTTCATCATCATGTCTCCACGACTTCCTCTGGTCTCGCTCTGTGACAGTGTCTCACATTTTCCTTGGTTACCAAATTTGTGTGTGTGTGTTTAAAGTACAAATACACATATATATTTGGTACTGGACAAAAAGTACAAATATATTAAATAATTACCTGACTTTATCAAGAAAAATGTAAGCGCCTGTCCTTCGTCTCCCTCCTCGTCTCCCTGAGGCCCCGTGGTGTCGCTCTCTGAGGGGTGCCTGAGGCGAACTGTGTATCCTCTACTCCTGGTGCAAACTTCTTCCTGTCCCAGCCCCCATCCTCCCAGGGATCTTTCTGCTGAGTCACTGAGCCACAAATGCCTTACCCATTCCTTGGAATTGGAAGTTATTTCCATTTTTTTCTTTTTTAAAGCATGCCTCTCTAAGGCAATAGCGCATCTGGGGAGTGCCTGGTCCTGCCCGCGGTGGTTGCAGCTGTGTCCCCCCTTGACTTCTAGTCCCCAATAGAGAGAGGGGTCTGAGGAGATGCCAGAGCTTCTTGCATTCTGGCCTAGGCATGGGGCATCGCTATGGCTTCAAGGGGCCAGCGTTCCTCCCTGGGTCTCTTTGCTTTTGGAGCAAAGCCTGTGTCTCCTCCCGTCCGGAGGCCACCCCATGTCATGTGGCTGTCCCCACTCTGCACTGATGGGTGCTGGGCCCCAGGAGCCAGTCTGGGAACAGGTCGGTTCCATTCAGAGAACCTTAGATGGATAGCCAAAAACTAATTAAAATGGAATCCCTTTCCTTCTTGAGCCTCTGAGGATGTTGGAGGAGGCCACTGCACGCCCTGGCAACCTCCCTACCCCTTTCCTCCGGCAGCTCTCTCAGGCCCAGTCCCCCAGCTTGGCCCTGGCCAGGGGCTCCTGCCCACAGTTCCCTCCTCGCCTGCTTGCATTCTACTTCAGCCAGCCTTGCCCTTCCTAGCGTCCACTGGTGGTGCCATTGCAGAAACCCAGGGGACAGGGGCCATCCTGGAAGCCAGGGTCAGGGAAGGAGGCCATGCAGTTCTGGTAGTGGACTGGGCCTGAGGTGGCTGGGAGCAGGGGCTTTGGTGCAGCTCTAGCCAAGGTGGCTGGGCAGGCATGAGGCCGGCGTAGGACATGTGTGTCCTGGAGCTGGGCTGTCTTAGGACTCTGTGGGCCTGGAGGGGTAAGGTACCACAGGGCCAGCTGTCACTCCTGTTCTAGTCCACGCCTCCCAACTCTTACCTCCCTGTGTGGGTGGGTGCCAGAGGCACAGGGGTGGCCTCCAGGTGAGACTCATGACCTCCTCCGTGTCTCTGGCAGGCGAGCACCACCCGGCAAGTGTCAGATCCACCCTGCACCAGTGCAAGTGAGGAGCCGCCTCATCCCCTTTGTGCCCAAGGAAAGTAAGTGCCCACTGAGGGGTTCACTGTGGGGGAGGGTTCCCAGAGTGGCCCCTGCCCCCCTCCAACCAGGCTTGGGCCCTTCCTTGGCCCCTGGGCCCAGCCCATTCCACGCATACATCTGACACCTATGAAGGTGGGTGGAAGTACATCTAGCGTGAGCCTTGCTAGATGGGCCCGAGGCTGTGAGCAGGTGGCTGCAGAGGCTGCTGGCCTCAAGGAGGGGGTAGCAAAGGCAGGAAAAGCCATGTCTAGAAAGGAGTGCCCCGAGTTCCCCAGGGGGGACTGAGAGAGGATGTCTGTGTTGAGCAAGGCAGGCTGAGCTGCTGGGCTTGGGGTCGCTATATCCATCCCTCTACCCACCTGTCTATCCTTGTGTGTTAGCAGTCCTGTCGCTAAGCAGTAGCACCCAACACCCACAGCTTAAACTAGGAGAGGTTTACTTCAGCTCATGGTTCAGGGGACTCAGCCCCTGAGTCCAAGGGGACTGGCTCCAAGGGGGCAGTATCATGGTAGAAAGGTGGGGAGGACAGCCACTTGCCCACTGCAGCCAGAGAAGACCCTATTGACACTCCCCTTCCCACCAGACCCTGCCTCCCAAAAGCACACCTAGCTATGAACTATCAGTGGATGGATCCACTGAGTGTCGCTGGCTGTGGTCTGATCATCTTCCAGAAGCTGCACTTTTGAGTGCGTGAGACTGCTGGGGAACACGTCAGACCTAAACCGTAACACCATGCATCCATCCACCCACCCTTCCTTCCATCCACCCATCATTCATCTATCTGTTCACTTATTCCCCCACCTTATCCATCCATCCATGCATCCGTCCATCTGCCCAATTGACCATCCATCCATCCATCCATCCATCCATCCATCCATCCATCCATCCATCTGCCCGCCTGCCCATCCATCCATCCATCCATCCATGCATCCGTCTATCTGCCCACCTGCCCATCCATCCATCCATCCATCCATCCATCCATCCATCCATCCATGCATCCATCCATCTGCCCACCTGCCCATCCATGCATCCGTCCATCTGCCCACCTG